TTTGTCCCACTTAAATAAAATTTAAAGCAAAAACCACATGGAAAAGTATACAGTATACTGATAAAATGTAATAGTTCAGAAGAGTTACCCTTAACACATATGCATATGGCAATTCAGCCTTGAAATACTCAGAGCAACAGAAAAATACCAGAGAAAAGAGATAACTTTTCCAGTAAAAGGCTGTAAACCACCCATTTCCTTAAGTAGATCAAACAGATGAAAGATATGCCAAGGTACAGGTTTTATAAAACAACTTTTAAATTAATTACACACAGACTATTTCTAAAAACTACCCTTGAATAAGAATATAGAATGAAACTTTAATAAAAAAAATCTTTCTGACCTGTGCTTTCTGATCATAATACAAAAAATATAGCTTATAACGACCCCCAGCCAAAGAACAATCCATGAACTAAGTTGATCGGCTGAAAAAAATTTCTGTTCTGTTAAAAACTAATAAGACTGAGAAGACATGACACAGCGACTAGGAGAAAATATCTGCCAAAGACATCTCATAAAGAACCGGTATCTAAAATACACAGAAATTTTAAAATCCAAGAATAAGAAATCAACCCACTTAAAAAAAAACAGGCAAATGATCTGAAAAAACAGACACATCACAATTAGGAAACTCCCCCCAATCCTAAACACTGATAATGTCAAACACTGGTGAGAATGAATTTTCATTCACTGCAACCAGGAACTCTTTTTCATTCACTGCAACCATGGCCACTTTGGAAGACGGTTTGATGGATTGTTTAAAAAAATAAATTAACATTTAAATAAAATGTCACTTAAATAAAATACCATTCAGTGTTAATAAGAAAGGATCTATCAAGGCATAAAAAGGCATGGAGGAAACTTAAATGCATGTTACTAAATAAAAGAAATTATTATTTAATAGGTACATACTGTATGTTTCCAACTATGTGACATTCTGGAAAAGGCAAAACAAGAGACAGTATAAAGTTCAATGGTTGCTACAGGTGCAAGGGGAGCACTAAGAAGTTTTAGAGAAGGGAAACCACTCTGCATGACACTGCAATATAGGTCAAAACTTATGCAACACAAATTCGTACTAAAACCAAAACTACAAAAAAATAAAAAATAAAAAAATCTGCAAACCAGTGATCTAAGCATTCCAGAAGCTAGAAAAAGAGCAGATTATAGTAGGTAAGAATGAAATAAATAAGACAGCAATTACTTTTGGGTGTGAATTATCTCTCCAAAGCTCCCAAAACCTCCTTTACTGATGCAGGAGGTGAAATGATTTGATGACAAGAGGTATAACCTAGTCAGTCCATCCTAATTAGAAGGGACTACTGTGCTAGGTGATGACTAGGATGGTGGTGCATGTATGTAGGAGGCCTGGGGCCCTGGCCTGAAGGTGGTGGGAATTCTCTTGTCCCCATGGATCTTCCTTCTCTCTCTGCTTCTTGGACACCAGGAGTGAGTAGCTCTCTTCCACTACCATGATTTCTTGCCTTACCTGGAATCCAGTGAAAAGCATTCTACCCACCATGATCTGAACCTATACAACCGAGCCAAAATAAACTTTTCCTTCCGTAAGTTACTCTTGTTGGGTATCTTGGTTACAGAGATGTAAAACTTACTAACACAAGAGCACAAATGAATTGGACAGCTACCCTCAAAAAAATAAAATGAAACCAAAAAAATAAGGTTGTGATGGATTTGTAAGTCTCTGTTAAATCATTAGAAAGCCTCAATAAAGTTAATTTGTGAATATTAGAACAGAAAACAAAGACAAATAATCACTGAAGTAATTAAAATGGCAATTCAAAATCTCTATCCTTAAAAGCATTAGGTCCAGTAAGTTTTTAGTTGTAAAAGTTCTCATAAGCTGGGCTGGGGATACAGCTCAGTTGGTAGACTGTTTGCCTCACATGCACAAGAGCCTGGGTTCAATCCCCAGCACCACACACACAAATAAAATGTTCTAGGAATCTATTAAGAAATAAGTCATGCCTCATTTATACAAGTTGTTCGAGGGACAAAAAGAGGGATTATGCCTAGACAGTAAGAATCTATTCAAGATATTAACAAAGTGAATTCAGAAGGAGTTAAATACACAAGTGTGCACACAGACATACCCTAAGAATGCATATGGGTAAGAAGGGTTCACCTTAATAATGTAAAGATGCATTAAAGTTTGGAAATTTATCTGTATACTTAACAATAAGATACTAGGGAAGAAGTATCATATGCATCTTGGTTGACATAAAAAAGCATTAGACGATTTTGAAAGGAAGGATATATTAAACTCTACCAACAAGCCAGGAATAGAAGGAAATCCAGATTAATAAAGGTTATATATTGAAGAGCTACAGTGAGCTATGAAATAATAAGATTTCAGGAAACTTTATAGATATAAGATCAATGTTAAAAATTATGAATGGATAAGCACAATAAAAAAAGATTCAAAATGGCACCTAGTCCTGTACAATGTCTATAAACTAACAGAATTTAAAAAACCTCAAAATTTTGGGAAGAAAAATTTAAACCTCTATTATAAATAAATGAAAAAGAAGACCTGATTATCATGAATGTGATGAAATGACTCAATACAATAAATTCCAATACACAAATGTCTCTGGACAAATAACCTAAATAAGCACCCATGGGGAAGGAAATGGGAATGAAGATGAAGAATAAGGAGGGAAAGAGACCTTTCACAGATCAATGACAATAAGCATATATGAAATACGACTCAAATTTGCACTAGAATTTAAAGAGACTAAGGCAAATAAAAGCAAATATTCAAATAAATTCAAAATATTTTTGGCTAATAAGGTTTTATTGAAAAGTACATAAACATCAATTCTTCCAAAATTGAAATTAATTAATATCTCATGTGAAAACATCAAATATTTTGAGAATTTATGCATATATGTACTTATAGGAATATAGGAGAATTCATATGCTACTATCTGAAAATATGTAAAAAAAACAATTTAAAAACACAAAAACTTTCTGATTAAAAAAAAAAATTAAGTCAAGTCATTCCATTTGGACAAAGCATAATATTGGATAAGAAAAACACAAAGAGAAAGAGACAGTGGAAAAGAAACCCAGAGACAGATGCCAAAATATGAGAGAATATATAACAAAAAAGATTTCAAACAAAAGTCTAATAGACAACTGACTACCTTATAAACATTTCAGAAGACTCAAACAAACACTTCAATAGTAAAATAATAAGCAATAAAAACCTTCCAGAAAATATAGGAAATTATGAATGATAAAATAAAATATAACCTAGAGAAGAGTGGGGTTGTGGCTCACTGGTAGAGTGCTTGCCTTGCACATGTGAGGTTCTGGGCTCAATCCTGAGCATCATATAAAATGAATAAAAAAAAGGTACTGTGCCCATCTAGAACTAAAAAATATATTAAACAACAAATAATATATACATACATGTATACGAGTATACATATATAATATATATGTATGTATAAGTATACATATACATACAATATACATAAGAGAAAAATAGGAAAGGATGGGGACAGGTTAACAGAAGAGAAACCTAAAGAGTAAATAAAATGTTCAATCTCATTAAGGAATCAAATAAGAACTATTACTTTATATCCATTACCAAAATTCAAATGATTGATAATGATTACTGCTATGAGGGATTTTTGGAGAAAAGGACATGCTAGTATACTATTAGAAATGTGCAATTTAAATTTTTCTTGATAAACAACATGACTAGTTACATACTCTTTATCCGAAAAACGTCATTCCTGCAATCTTAGTGTGAAGAAATAAATTTTGTGTGTGTGGGGGGGGGAGGAACTTCAGGACAAAACTGTCCATCAATAGGTGAACGGTCAAATAAATTAATGTATCATCTATGCCAAAGAACACTTTTTTAAAAAATTGGGGGGGTGGGTACTAGGGATTTAGCACAGGGGGTAATTTACCACTTAGGCACATCCTCAGCTCTTTTTATTTTGAGACAGGGTCTCACAAAATTGTTTAGGGGGGCCTCGTTAAGTTACTGAGGCTGGGCTCAAACATGCCTGGGTCGAAATATACTTTATAAAGTAATTCAAACAATTACGTCTATATGAGGGGATTCACACAGAATTTCACAATTAACTGTGAAACAAAAATAAAACACAAAAATTTCTTTACAAATAATTAAAAAAACATACCAAATATAAAACTATATATGCTTACAGAGACATGTATTTCATTATGTTCCATAATATGTACAAAAAGATTGTGAATAAAATATTAATTGTGGTGGTTCTGTCTTGGTGGATATATTCAGGGTGAACTTTACTCTTTATAACTTACATGAGTGCTTTTTTTTCTCAAGTAAACCATGTTATTTAAATAAGTAGGAAAAGATGATACTATTTTTTTTCTGAAAATTAAAGTAGGTATTTATAAGATTCAAGAATGCTTAAAAAATATTTAAATAAGGTTCTCAAAATTTCCCCATAAAATGTAAAATACATTTGCAATAGATTTAAAGCTTTCCGAATTTCCTCATAGATGTGGGGTTGAAATGGGGCATATAGCTCAGTGCCTAGCATGCAGGAAGCCCTGGGTTGGATACCACAAACACTCCATACAACCAACCAACTAAACAAACACAAAACAAAAAAATGAACTGTGGGAAAACAGGTACCTCTCAGTATTGTTGTTATGATTAAATATTATTATTTACATAAATTCTTCCTTTGATTATCTCTTTGAATAGCAAAAAAAAAAAAATCCGTGATAAATGCAGAGTGACGATTATATTAGGTAAGTCGACTTTTGAAAAAAATATACGTTAAATAAAAGAAAAAGTCTATATTAGGTTTATAGTAAAAAGCAAAGTTAAATAAAAATTTCTATGTAAAAAAAAGTGCTTTCTAATGTAACGCTTATCTGAAAATTACAAGGTTATTGTGGAGAGAATTAAAACCCATGTAAAAACTTACACAATTCTTTTTAGTTATACATGACAGCAAAATGCATTTAGAAAAAATATGGACTGCTACACGAATTTGCGTGTCATTCTTGTGCAGGGCCATGCTAATCTTCTCTGTTTTCTTCCAATTTGAGTATATGTGCTACCAAAGCAAGCACATATATGATTCTTATTTGCTATGGATTGAATTTATGGTTTCTTGTCACTAAAATTCATGCTGAGGCTTGGTTCCTAATATGGCAACGTTAGGAGGTGGCTCCTCTAAGAGGTGATTAGTTTCTTAAGAATTAATGCTTTTTCTCCATGGTGTGAGTTCTTGCTCTTGGATACTGAATCTGTAACTTTGAGTGGACTGTTATAAAGAGATTTAGCCTTCAGCTTCATTTCTTTCATTTTCTCTTACCATGTGATCATCTCCACACCTATCACATACTATTCTCAATGTACTTTCTCTATGTGAATACTTCTGTCACTTGTGAAATATTCAAAAGGCTCTCATCATATCTGAATAGATTTTGATGACTTGATCCTGGACTTTCAGCTTCTAAAACTATATCAATTTCTTTCCTTTTTAAAGTCACCAGTTTCAGTATTTTGTTATAGCCACACAAAACAATGAAATAATTTCTCTAAAATGTTCCATCAAAATTACATTAATTTTTTTTTTTTTAGTTGTAGATGGACACAATACCTTTAATTTTATGTTTATTTTTATGTGGTGCCAGGGAATCTCAGTGCCTCACGCATGCTAGGCAAGTGCTCTACCACTGAGCCATAACCCCGGCCCCCAAAATTAGATTTTTAAAATAAAAGTTTATTTTCTAAGATCTTCTTCTATTTCTCTCTTTAGGGTTCTGTAGTTTTCATTGTATAAGTCTTTCACCTCTTTTGTTAGGTTGATTCCCAAGTATTTTATTTTTTTT